ATTTTGAGCTGCTGATACGATAATTCAACATTTCCCACCTGGCAACACTGATGCTGATCTAAAAGGAACAAGTAACGACAAGCTTCCTAGAAATGTAGTGGAGTAAAAAGTACAATATTTGTCTTTGAAATGTAGTGGAGTAAAAGTAAAAAGTTCCCAAATAAATAACTACTCAAGTAAAGTAAAGATACTCAAAAAATGTACTTTACAGTAATAAAGTAAAAGTACTTTGTTACTGTCCACCACTGCCTAAATGTTTGAGTTAGTGCTTTAGGGCTAGTGGAACTAATTTTTAGACTAGTGCTGCCCACCACTGCCTACAGGATTCTGTAATTCTTAAAGTCAGAAACTCAAAACTGTAGCACCAAAAATGCCACAAACACTGAACTTCCATCTAACAGGTTTTGTAATTTTTTTAACAAGATGATTGTCACATTATCCTCCACCTGTCACCTTTAAAGGCAGAGCCTGCCCTGAAAGATAATCTGGACAGATTATTTCCGTTTCTTTTCAAGTTTTATGAATTTTATACGGTCGCGTTACGCAGATTTCACGGCACATCGAGGATGTGTGATTGACGCCCTTTGATCGTGCGTGAGCGGAGTGTTTGTTCAAACATGATCCGACAAATATTTCAACTCCTCTGTAATTAGCAAATGTGAAAAATGGGGCATGTGAGTGCAAACAGGATCGGGTGAAAAGGAAAACCTCTTTCTTTTTTTATTTCCTCTTAAAAATAAACAACTACACTGTAAAAAATGAAATGTTGGATTTACTTAACCATGTTTTGTGACCTGGTTCCACTTAACTGAGTTGAGTAAATTCAAAGCGATATACCAGTTTTTTAACCAAAGAACATGAGTATGTTGCTTTGAATTTACTCAACTCAGTTAAGTGGAACCAGGTCACATAACATGGTTAAGTAAATCCAACATTTCATTTTTAGAGTGTAGAAGAGCAAGAGTTTTCTGGAAATGATTTGCTAAGCATGATTTGTCATTTCACTTATGCCCCAGCCCCACAGTAAACATCAACTATGTTTATTACAGAGACAACAGGATATTCTGGAAACGTCTGCATGAAGCTAACAGACAGCAGCAGTGTGGTCTGAAGAAAAACGAAGTAGTTAAAATAACAGACTGTAAACACATACTGCTAATTACATCTATAATTATTATGTAGACGCTTCATTTAAATCATGAAACATTATAATTATTTCCACTGGCATGAAACCTTAGTTTAAGCTACATGTTTACATGATATTAACATGTCCTGAACATAGAAGGAACTCCACCAAGAGAAGTGAAGCTGTGAGGAAACAGCAGAACCTTGTAGAATTGTAGGGTTTATTTTATTATGTAGCACGTTAAAAAAAATCTTATTCCACCACCATCTTTTACACATCTGTACCTCTTGTTTTGTGAAATATAGTGAAATTTTATGTATAAATACTTAAAGGTCATAAAGAAATAAAAAGTGTTAAGGAATAAATGACTTTTATAGTCAATGCATTACTAAATATTAGGATGCTCCGATACCAGTTTTTCACAAACCGAGTACAAGTATTTCAGTTTGGGTACTCGCTGATAGTATCAAAATCGAGTATCATATATGAGGTGTTACATGGTGCAGAGGATATTTTATGATACGTATCATAGGCTGAAAAAGTTTGGAGTGACATTAATTTGAAAAAACCTAGGAAGATTTTTTCACTGAGAAATTCCAAGTAAAATATACAAGCGGTATTCTTTTTTTTTTTCTTTTTTTGCCACTTCAGTAGAAAGCAGAACTGAAAATTAGTTTCTTAGTTTCTTCATCATCAGTGACTTTTTTAAGAAGAAACAGAAAGAAAAGGAAAAAAGTGAAATGTAATGAGAAAGAGTGAAAGAGAAATGAGAAGATATGTGAAATATTGAGAAAACACAAGACAACACACCCGACATCTTGGCTGCACAACTACATAAACAGAGATAACAGAACCACAGCAGCAAAAATGTACATCTATATAAATGTAATGATTATAGCCTTGCTATAATGTGTTTTCGGAAAACAAGAAAAAACTATTTTTTTAGCAAGCATATTGGAATTTTTATTAATATTGTAACAGAAAGTTAAATGAGATGTGTGAACAAGTGTCCAAAAAAAGTAAGACACAACACTGATTGCATAACAAATAAAACTGACTTAGGCAGAAAATTCCTTGACTTAGGCAAATTTTCTCTAACATATAACACAACAATAACCTAACTAACGTTGGTTTACTCTCCTAAACATAACCAAGTTGTGTTACTTTTCTAACTTTTAGCAAGTTGTTTTAAATTTTAATCTTAAAAAGGTTGTTGTACCTGTCTAACCTTAATCAAAGTCCGGCTCAGGTGCTGTGTTAACTTGTTTTCACACCGTCTACTGATGAGGGAAGTGATCGTAGTAAACTTCGAACAGCATGCCTAAAAAGGACAAACAGGTAATCTTAAATATTGTGATGGTATTTTCACTCTGTTGGCGTTTTAAGGGGTTCTAAACAGAGAGCTTCACTGGGCAGTGTGATGCCAATGATGAAGCTCATTCTAACTAAAATCCCTGAGTTTCTATGTGATGGAAATAAATGGAACAAGCTGACAAATTTCAGCGGCATACCTCAGCTTGTTGGTTATCATATCATTGGATGACAATAAGCCTCAGTTATTGTGTTGTTTTAGCACAGGCTTGCCCTCGGGCCCAGTTTACGTTAGAAACGCGTCCTGCTGACACAAATCAGAACCTAATAAACCAGGTCGAGCAGAAAATAGACAAAGGATGTGTGCACACGTTTCTCCTCTGCCCTAACAATAGAGGCTGAGCACCTCAGCCGGCAGACCGGACCTTGACGCCTGGCCCGACCCTGACAGGGAAGGATGAGATGCTGACCCCAGAAGAGTCTTGGAGGACCCTCGGCTTCCTGCCACACAGCCGTCCTTCCCCCCCACCCAACTCCCGAACGCCTCCCTTCACCCTCCCTGGAGAACAACAACTAACCTCACGGACTGGAAGGGAGCCAGCAGGCCTGGCAGGAAGGGTAGATGGAGGGTGGTCATGGTCGTGGTTCCTGATCGGGGTATCCTGTCTTTCAGAGGCATTTCTCTGCTTCAGCGGCTTTCAGCAGGAGATGCAAAAGTCTTAAAATACAAAATGCTTCCATCATAAACTCATCTGCAATGACAAAAAGAAAAAAAAAAACAGCACACTACATGACATGTGACCAAGACACTTCACTGTAAACCCTAAATCCCACGTGTCAAACTCAGACGAGGCCCGCCAGCTAACATAAAATAATAATATAATATATAATAATTTACATAAAATTTGTTTCTAATATCAATGGTAAACTAAATTTATGATTTAATGCAACAAAATAAATTGAAAGGTGAAAGATAACATCCTGCCCCTGAGCTGTCTGAAAATAAGCTGCTTTAAAGTCAGCATCTGCCATATCTGCCATAATGCATAGCTACTCACTACAAACTCATCAGCGAGGAAAACTTTATTAGTTTTACTTTTAATAATGTTTCTGTTTTTATTTCAGATTTAGTCAGTCATACACTTAGTTCTTATCAGTGTTTAAAAGAGGACGTGTTAAAACACTGTTTAGTCAAACGTCAAAGTTAACTACAACTGGCCCTTCGAGGTCGCTGATGTGGTCCTCGGTGAAAATGAGTTTGACACCCCTGCAATATGTTCGCTAAACAGACAAATCCGAGGAGTACTCCCTCTCCTCCTCCTGTGTTTTCCTTATAGATGGCAGATCTTTTCAAAGGCGCTCACACAACGGAGCCATCGTTAGTGGGGACACGTCGTTTCCGAAGTAGCGGAAGAGCCCAAGCTTCGGTTGTTCTCCGGATCTTAGGCTGGAGAAGATCGCCCTCTTCAATGAGCACAGAGACTCCCTTCATTCTCTCCTCTATCCTCTCCTTTGTGCATCCTTCCCTCCCTCAGGTCTAAATGGAGGCCCTGTCATCGGAGACAGGTCGGAACTAGTTTAGAGGCCTCAGCTGCACCGACTTCAGTTTTACAGGTAAACGAGCCTCAGAGCTAACGAGACGTTACATCAGAACATCCAGGGAGGTCATGTGTGCCGTTTTCTTTGACTCAATTCATGGCTGAGACGTATTTGATCCATGTACGCAGATTTAAAGATGCAGCATGTGATTTAAAAAGCAAATAAAGACTTCTGCAGCTGCACATTGTGTTTGTGCATCTCTGCACGGATGTATTTAAACTACTAGTGTTGCAGGGGTGTGAATCTGTTTGCACGAACAAATAGGCGTTTATACAGTCACACTGCGGGAACTCAACTTCCTTCTGAGGACATAATGTCTTTCTTATGTCAGTCATCAGTTACAAAATGAGGACTTAAGGTCAGGCAGGAGCTGTTGGTGGAGAGGGCCAGAGTTTTGTTCAGGCATGTGTTCAGACATACCATGGTTTCCTTTATAGGACTGCTTTTATTCCCATAAAACAAAAGATGTCGCTTTGTGGGAAAACTTACCTAATAAAAGCAGAGTATTTTTAACACATAAAATATCAAAGCCAACATTCTCCATTAACAATTTATAGTAAAGTCCTTTTTATTTCGAAGTTATTACAGTTACACAGTTTTCAGTGTTTGTGTTCTGCATGTTTTAAACCACAGAACTCTGGAGGCAAATTCTTGTTTTAAACTCACATTTAAAGTGCAAACACAAAAACTTTGTTCTTTCGCATTACAGGAGATGCAACCTCCTGTTAAATTTTTATTAAAGAAATATAACCTGACATGCTTTCCAAATGTCTTAAAAATCAGACGTCAAATTACTTAAAAAGAATAACAAACACCAACCTCCTATCAATAAACTAAAGCTCGGGCATTATAAACTTTTATTCAGTGCAACATAGTTCATAGTGCAACAGGCTTTCTTTCTCAGCTTAACAATTTTTTTATTTAAAATATATTTTATTTTAACTCAAGTCCCTTTGGAATTTTAAACGTCTCGAGGCATCATCAAAACCATAAATGAAAGTTGAACTTTCTAACGTTCACAGATGTGAAGTTCCTTTTTTTTTAAATAAAAGCTCTTTGTTCACTTTCCAAAGAAACAGCACAATGTCAGCTGTGAGGCAGCTGTTACAGTTGTTTCACTACACCAGGTTTAGCCATAACACCCATCAGTTTGAGGTCATGGACATTAAATAAAACTATAAAAACTTCAAACTTCAAAAAAAAAATGCATTGGAATTTTAAAAAAGAAAACAGTTTGCAGATAATGCTAAAAATGCACAGGTGACTTTTTGAAACAGTACATCTTCTACAGAGATTGAAATAAAAAAAATTGAAGCCCACTGCAAACAACAACTCAAGAATCATATATTTCCCAAAGGTAACAGAATGTTCTGAGAGTGTGAGAAACTTGATGAGAGCAAATTACAGGCCATGATATGTAGACAAGTATTGTTGTTTTATATATAGGCAAAAAAATAATAATAATAACATGAATGCAAGTTGTATTGCAAGCCATGCAAGAGAATCTGCTAAATGCTGAAAGATCAGTACAATAAAACAGTGGATTATGATTTACCAAATGAAATATTGGACAAAAATCTAACTAAAAAACGGATCGTTCATTATATAGTTGTGCCGCATTTGTGATAAGAGATAAAAAATTATGGTTGGAGGTGTTTTTATCTTTCTGTTAGCTTTGTTAGTTAGTGAGCTATTTTTATTGTTGTCAGCTAAATTTTGGTATTTTCTAATGTTAATATGTGGTGAATTACATTAATTGGAGAACTGCACCAATTAATTGGTAACTTGATATCTTTAAGTCAAAAACAGAAGCGAAAGATGGGCAGTAGTGACATCTAGTGTTATCACTGGAATAATTCTGTGCGCGGAACTGTTTTACGGAGCTGTTGTAACAGTCGGAACTATTAAACAGACGGAGCTGCTAAGACCTTAAACGTCGGTCCTCGGCTATTTTTTTTTATTATTATTATTATTTTCTCCACAGCATGGTGTCCCAAAGACAGGCCCGGGTGTGGAGGTACGTGGAGGAAGGGAGTCTTTTAAAACTCAAATCGTACCTACGGAAGCGCCGGGACCTGGATGTGAACTTCACCCGGGGCAAGAAGCAGAGGAGCCCGCTGCATCTGGCCTGCTCGCTGGGAGACGACGCTGTTCTGCGGTTGCTGCTTAAACACGGAGCCGATGTTCTTCAGCAGGACCGGAGGGGAGACACGGCGCTTCACATCGCAGCCAACAAGGCCTTGAAACACGGGAAAACAGGTGAGGAACAAGAAGCGGTATTAGACCGATTTATTTACAAAGTTTTGTTACTTATTACGCCTCTGTTTTCTTCTAGTTTATGATGATTTGGTTGTGCCTCTTATAAAGTCATGTCCTGAAGCTTTAAATGCTCCAAACAGAGCTGGAGTCACACCGCAAGACCTGCTGAACTGGCTGAGACATTCAGAGGTAAACTACCTTTAAAAATGAATAATTATATAGATAAGGTAAGCGGTAGTTTTAAAGCTCTTTGACATTTCATAAATGTAACTGAGGATCATTTTGGGGAACAAACAAATGTAAATTAGACTACAAGTTTGTGATTTAGATTGCGTTTATAGGTACTAAAAATGACCCTCAATGGGTTTTTTTTGGCAGCATCACAACAAACATGGCAGCAAATTTAAATGTGACTAGATTCATTTTCTAAGGATTAAAATAAAATTGTTTGTTGACATTTATGTGTATTTCCTTTCGCTTTCTCCAGGCCACAGACACGAACTGTCCACCTGAGACAGACCCTGAGAAGGAGTGGCAGGAAAAGCTGTTTGGTGAATGCGTGGATGAATGTTTTGAGACCTTCGGAGCATATGATGGTAAACCTTGAGCTCTTTATTGTTTAATTTCATTCGGCCTTTCTCTACTCGATTTTTACGACAGCTGCTTGCTTTCTTTCACAGCTGATGATTATCTGCCAGTTGATGACGACGAGGAAGACTTTGGGGACTGGGTTGATCGCATCAGAAGAGAGTACTTGAATAAAAAACATGCTGAAGCTCAAAGGCTGGCAAGGTCGTCGTCTAGTTGGAAGAAAGAAAGCAGTAAACAAAAGAGAAAAGAAGGAATGGAAACACACAAAGAGCTGCTCCGAAGACTGCAGAAGGAACACGAGGAGTACCTGGCCCGAGCTGTGCGGAAAGAAGAGGAGACTCGGCAGGGAAAGAAGCGTCGGTACGAGGAGAGGTGCGCCGCCACGTTTAACAGCGCTTCTGCATCCGGCAGCTCAAAACTGAGGTACGGCGACATCCCCTGGCCGGCTGCCAGAGGCACAGTCCAGGAGATGGTGGACGTGATGCTGCACGGAGTCGACCGAAAGGATGCGGCGGCCTTTCGCAAAGCCGTGCGGAAACAACAAACTCTGTGGCACCCAGATAAATTTGCTCAGCGATGCGAAGCTCGGTTAGATGAGAAGGACAAACAGCGGATTCTGGATACAGTGACAGCTCTGTCACAGGAGCTCAACAAGCTGGCTCAGAGTCTGAGGACATAAAAAACTTCATATGCTCTGCTGAAAATGAGCCTATTAAGACTCACTCTTAATTCTCTTATTTTTTAAATGCCTAGATGTCTGTGTTTGGAGTAATTTATACTGAAAGCTATTGTTCTTGGAAGGCTTGTTTAAAAAAAAAAAAGAGCAGAGAGTGCAAGTTGCATTACGTTGCATACAAATTAAGTGGGATGAGCTCCTCTGAATGCAAACAAAAACGCACTGAGTTTGTATGTGTTGTCAAATAAATGATCTCAGTTGTGCAGGACGCAGTATAAATTGACATTTGTTTAATTTCTGCATACAGCAAAAAGATGCCCTCAGGTTCTGCTATATCTTCAACACATATTATTATTATTATTTTTTTTTTTTTTGAGGTTCCTTTATGCTTTTCCTAAACCAGATATGACGCTTTTGGTTGAACAATATGCTTAAAATAGATTTATTGAAATTGAAAATTCTGAAATGCGGGTCCACATTCATTGTAAACAAAGCACTCGGCTGAATTCATGGAAAACCACGTGGAAGCTTGAGTCACGTGACTGACCTATATTAGGCTGGCCAGTCTGCAGGGGAACAAATGTGCTCAGTAACATATGACCTGTTTCCTATTGCTTTCAGTTTTTTCTGTAGGCAAACAAATGCAAATGGTAGTTTGCATCCAGTTACAATTTTAATTTTAAAAGCACATTTTCTATTGATAAAATAAAATTATAAAATAATGTGCAAACTTAGTTTATTTGTGTTCTTTTAAGACAATCTTTATGACTTTGCAATGATTACCTTTAAAATTAGAAGGAAAAAATGCAGCATTTGTTGAGTCATGTCTTTATTAAAATGCTACATATGCTATTTGCTTCCTACGAAAGATTAGAGCCACTGAAAATAAAAAAGATAATTCTGAGATTAAAGTCAGAATTCTTTTTTTTTCCTCCAGTGGACCTAATCCTCTGTCATAGCTTCTATTACTAATTGCATTGTAAAATAATTACAAGCATTATTTAACGCAGAAATAAATTTCTTTAAAAGAAAAACACCTGGAGATTTGTTAAAGATGATAGAAAACTAGTTGCCAGGTTTGAGGAAAAACCTCTTAGAAAAATGGGAAAGACTCGCGCGTATCTTACAATAAAACAAAGCAAATAACACTCCTTTAAGATTTATCTTTTGTCATTTTTTTATATTTAAAACAAAATTAACTCATGTCAGATTCACGACGCATGAAAACAAATAGGTTTTCATTTATATTTAACTGATTTTAGGTGTGCCCCTTTTATTTAATTTTTACTACATCACCGAGACCAACTGGTTCAGCATCGAGTAAAGTTATGTCAGCTATAAAGAATGTTTTCTCACTTAATTGCTTATTGAGTGTTTTTATAGCCACACAATCTGCGCGCTACATCAGTGATCGTTTAGGGGGAGGTGAGTCATATATGGCAACCCGCGGACAAACGCGTGTCAATCGCGCGATTAAAGGCCGATCTATGGCAAGCCGTTGGAGCCATAAATCGCCCCAAATCGCCGCAAATCCACGCCCGATTTATGGCCCCAACGGCTTGCCATAGCATGAAGCCAAATCTGACCGCGCGCGCGGCTTTATTTGTCACCACGAGCCGCAGATGCTAGCTTCACTTGTCAACATGGCGGGCCGATAATTCATCTGTTTTTAGAGTTAGCTTGTTGCTCATTTACAGACAGCGTTGCGTGGTGATTTATTTATTTATTTATTTATTTATTTATTTATTTATTTATTTATTTATTTATTTATTTATTTCCGGTGCCGTTACGGCAGGTGTAACAA